AGACATGCCCCTGTTGGACAATTATAGTAATAACAACTCCTAACCTAAGATTTTGCTAGCAACTAGATGAAAATACAACTCCCAGCTGAGGTGACAGGGAAGAGTAGGAAGCCTAGGTATTCACTATGTCAATTAGAGTTGTAGGCTATAGATAGAGTAACAAAGAGCAGAGTAACAAAGGTGTCATTTTTCCAAAGCATGCCACTGACACCAGGCGTGGTGGCACACGCCTGTAATCCCAGTGCTGAGGAAGCTGAGACAGGAGGATCACTATGAGTCAGAGCTGCATAGTGAGAACCTGTACCAAATAAATAAACGATTAAAGAAAAAGAATACTGTGGAAATTTCGATCACCTAAATTGTTTCAAAAATTATGTTTTACCCAAAGATCTTACTAACATAAGGATAACTTAAACTTTTAAAATGATTTCTGGGACTGGAGGGATAGCTCAGTGGACCAAAGCATCCGCTTAGGCAAACTTAGGCCAAGTAGGGGCTACAGTTCGATCCCCGGCACCACAGGCTGTGCCAGCTGAGCCCCCAAGGTGGCCTGAGTTGGCCAGAGTCTGGTGTAGTTACGCTCGGTTGTAATCCCAATACTAGGGAGGCTGAAAGCAGGAAGGTCACCATGAGCCTGAGCTACGTAGTGGGACCCTGCAACAACCAAATACACTAAAAAGAAATGCATAATAAAACAAAATAAAATTATGTCTGCTTGATAGGAACTTAAAAATTACCTAGCATGAGGTGAAATTAAAAAAGAGCTATGCTTAAAATGACTTTGGAACTGACAATTTAAGTTTTACAGAAAGTTAAAAACTATGTTCAAGGGCCAGCCAAATAGCTCAGTGGATTAAAGCGCCTGCAAGCAGGCACAGGGACTGGGGTCTCCAGGCCTGCCATGCCAGCCCTGCCCCAGGGCACACTGAGACAGCAGTTGAGACTGGGCGTGGTGGCGCATGCCTGTAATCCAGCTCTTGGGAGGCTGTAAATAGGCAGATCACTAAGAGTCCGATCTAGTAGTGAGACCCTGAACATCTGGTAGACCCTTCCCTAAAAAATACAAAACAACAACAACAAAAAGAAAGCTAGGTTTAAAACAGCCATATTGCCTTTGTAATTTTGAATTTTTACTTCCCTATAGAACCTAAAATAACTCGTCCTCCAATCAATGTAAAAATAATAGAAGGATTAAAAGCAGTTTTGCCATGTACTACAATGGGCAACCCCAAGCCATCCGTCTCCTGGATTAAAGGGGACAGTGCACTCAAAGTAAGTGATTATTGTATAAAAATGTATTTTAAAATTTAACAATGTCTTTTAAACACTTACATGTTTGTAGACTTTAATTTTAAATTTTTCCCCATGCATTTTAATTGAATTAAAATATTTCTATTTATTCATAAGTTTCTATTTAAGGATTTATTCTATGTAACTGTAAATATTTCTATTAACTACAGAAGTACTTCTATAATTATGCAAATTATAGGACATTTCATGAGGCTAGACTTAACTGTGTCAAGGAAAACAATGTATTTGAACAGGTAGAATACAGAAGCATGGATAAGAGTCCAGTGTTTTTTATTAGGCTAAATATTAAAGAAATTTGCAAAAATATGTAAAACTGGCACCAATCCTCTCACTAAATCCTTTTTTTAGTTGTCATTATATTTATTTGCATATGAATAATTTATTTGCATATGATTGAATTATTTTATTTGCATATAATTAATTGTATGCAAAATATGTTGGCAAAAATATTAAAACCAGCACCAATCTTCTCACTAAATCCTTTTGTTTATTGTCATGAAATTATACACAATTAGTGTTATTATTTTAAAATGAATTAATGCTTATATTTTTATCTCTTTTCAAGTTTTGACTTTAGCTTCTGACAAGCAAATACAGATAAATAGAACTTTAAAAAATTAATACTTTAAATCGAACAGACTTGGGTATGATTTTTAAGGAGTCTTGTGTCCTCATGAGATGAAAGAAAATGACAAGATCTCTTGGGATCATTATGATAGTCAATTATATTTCATCTTGTTTTCTCTCACTTAACATTTATCTTATGTAACATAAACACCCAATGAAAGATAATGCTGATAACAATGATGTGATAAAAACGTCAAGCTTATCCTGGGCTGGATGCATTCAGATTTTTATCCCTGTCTCTGGCAGGAAAACGCCCGCATTGCTGTTCTTGAGTCTGGGAGTTTAAGGATTCACAACGTGCAGAAGGAGGATGCGGGGCAGTACAGATGTGTGGCCAAAAACAGCCTGGGAACAGCGTATTCCAAGCTGGTGAAGCTAGAAGTTGAGGGTAAGAAGCTGTGTCCCTCCCATCACAATGCGAGTGGGGATCTCACATTTACTGTGAATGCTGCGCTTTAGTTTAAGAAAGAAATGCAGGTATTTCTAATGCCGCCATTGTCCAGATGACAGACCATAGGTCAAGACTGTGAGAACAGAGAATAGAAGTTGAGGAACATAGAATTTTTCACTGTCATAAAATATCATATTCTAAGACTGGGCATGGTGGTGCATGCCTGTAATCCCAGCGCTTGGTAGGCTGAAAACAGGAGGATCACTATGAGTCTGGTTTGTGTAGTGAGACCCTGTGGACCCTCTACTAAATACATAAAAAAGTCATATTCTAGCTATTTCTCATGACCATTGGCAAATTTGACTACCATGGGCTAAATACATTATAATAAATTGGACTAAAATAATTGGACTTTTGAAACTAAAATATATGCATTTTAGAACTCATTCCTGGCTTGGCAAATTCTCCGTAATAGGTCATCAACATAATAGTATGTCATTAAAGTGAATTTTTTAATCAATTCAATAACTTGGTGGGAAAGATCTTCACTGAGAAATCGGAATCCAAATATTTGGTCCTCTTCATCTAAAATGCTATCACATTTTGTTTAAAAATACAAACTTTCAGCATCCTCAGTCTGTAAGTAGACTGATTACAAATCCCCTCCAGTGCTTCTTACTCCAAGCCGCAGATTCGCTATCTCTGACCATCAGCTTGCTGCTCTGTGGGTGAGACGTGTTGTACTTAATGAAACAAGACATTGTCTCTGGTCCTCTGTACACACTCAGTGAAGGTCGGAAATCATAAGTCTTGCCATTCTTTTCTTATACACAATAAACATCGGATTAATAAAATACTGTACAAGTGCCTATTGAAACAAATTCTAATTCAAGCACAAAAGGATTCAAGGGTTCCCAAGATCTCTGAGACCATCTTACTCTCCTTTAGCCAAAATTTATCAATTCCTTTCCCTTTTCTCACTCATTATTTCCTCTTTTAAAATTATTTTCTTTTATTTTCCAAGTGGGCCTTTGTTTTTCCTTCCACAAATTTAATGATCTAATTTTCCATATTTGTCTCTAATTAACACCACATTTTCTTATGTCATTAAATAAATTATTCTTAAAATTCTCATCAAAGAACAGAATGAATTTGATGGGACTAGAGACTGTAGAACATAAAAATATATTTTCAGTAGAGTTGCTATAATTTAATATCTCTTTTAAAGATTACTATCAAGAATTTGTGTGAGTTTTAACAGTAAAAACTAAATATACAGATAAATACATTCAGACATGTATTCAGAGTTAATATCTGCATAGGTACAGTGTTTCCTTTAAATGAATGTTAACCCTTTGTATAAAGTATTGCTGAGTTTTGTTTATCAAAACCTCGATTAAAAGCCCTCTGTATTATAATATACAATGATAATCATTTTCTGTCTTCTTAGGTAGCAAAATAACTTGCTTTAACTTTAGCTCAACCAAAATTATACCCTGTATCAATTACTTGGAGTCTTACCTCACCATTTAATTTTGAATCCTACCTATTGGTAATATTGAACATTTCCTTCTTTATTCCTAACATTTAAATGTTTTCACTCAGTTCTTTCAGTTATTAGATGCTACAAATTTTATTAAGCCGCAATAGTATTGAAAGCTCATAATATCATCTAAAGTACCTCTAAGAATAGGTAAATAATTGTGGTACTTAATGAAATAAGATATTATTCATTATTGATTGTATAGTTATGTTATTTAACTAGTTATTTCATTAAGTACCTTAGCTGAGATGTCTATTTCTACCCCCTTTTGTATTTACTAAAATACTCCACATAGGTGACATGTTGAGCAGCTAATGGCACAACACTACCCCTTCATACATACCATCTACAATAATTATATTATTATTTATAAAACAATATTGCAGCAAATCTGTTTTGGCACTGGAAGTTCTAAATGGTTAACTTCCACTTGAAGTGATATTTGAGGGAATTCTAAACACATAATGCAGACACGTTCTATTCAAAGAAGAGCTGACTCAAACAACCACTCAGAATGGGTGAGAAGCAATACAACAGTGGGTGAAAAAGCCTGAAAAGTACCTTCAAATGTCTACTAGCTTGGCAGTGGTGAGGAGGGAAAGTGTACCCGGGCTGCAGGTATTTCGGATTGGTGAATGTAAGTATGCACTATGTAGTAACTCTCCAGATGCATTCTACACTGAATAATTTGAGTCAGAGCTCCATAATGCCATTTGACACTGTCCTACACTTACTATGGGTGGGCATGCCAGGAAAAAAGATGCCTTGCCACTAGGAGCTTCTAACAAGGACAAACATACCAGGCATATTAACACACAGGGTATACTGTGAATCTCAGCTGTTGTAATGAATGTAAAAGAAACACTATCATCCGGAGGAAATAAAATTTCCTTTCTCAATGACCATCTGCAGGATTTTGGACATTTGGAATGGCAACATAAGGGCAGTCTATGCTTCTATTTTCTTCTCACATGATTCCAATAGTAATGTACAGAATTCTTGATAGAATCAAGTAACTCAAAATGTTCCTGTGTGTCTTTCTAACAGGTTGAGCTGACACTTGTAAATGTGCACTTCAATTGGATTCTCTCATTTAAACATCTCTCCCCATCTTGGAGAAGATCATTTATTGTGCTGCTTTAGGAAATGGGGAAACATGGGGACTAGCAAATCACAGAACATCCCATGGGTGGTAGTATCTAAGAAATTAAGTAATGCTGAATGCTGCCTATTTTATTAAATAAAAGAGTTCTGCATGATAATGTCAAAGCAGAGAAGGGTAAAGTTGAGATATTTGTAGGGAAATAGATGTACTTGGAGACCATGATGCTTAGTGAAATAAATCAGACACAGAAGCTGAACTATCACATGGTTTTTCTGATATGAGAAAGCCAAAGTATTAATAATTCAAAGAGCAAAGTATATGACATGTAATTGGACACAGGGATATAAGCCTTTGCAAACAGGAAGGGTGTCTAGAAGTGGAACGAGGCAGGAAGCATGTAGGAAAGAGGGAAATGAGGGATTAAGATGTGTTAGGAACGTGGACCAATTCCCCAAGATGAATGTATGCATTGTATGCTGTAAACATGTGTTAATCAAAACAGCAGTAGTAGAGTGGAAGGAAGATTTTTGTACATGAAGGACAGAATGAGAACAAAGAGAGGACGGAAAAGAGACAAGGTTTTCAATGTTTGACAGAGAATGAGAGGAGTTGGAAAGGAGCAGTTGTTTAAAAAATTGAAAACATTAAAGCACTAGTGAGAAGAAAATTCAAACACACAGAAGATAAGGGAAACACATAAGGGACTGTTGTGTTCAGCATGACAGGGCTGAGTCCAGGGGCCAGGTGAAATGATAAACTTTATACAGAGTGACCATATGTTCTGGTTTTCCCAGGACAGTTCTCCTTTACACCTGTTGCCCTGGGATAATTATTAATAGAGTTACTCTTTTACTTTCAAAAGTATACAGGCTTCCGTGATAAATGATATGGTTACTTTCCTTGCACAGGTGGGGAGGTTTCTTAATTTTTAATTTTTTGTAGTAGAAAGCAAGGAGAAAGGGTACATTTTCCATAATGAATCAAAAAGTTAGGCAAATAGAATTTGAGAAAGCTCTGTTCCCAAGGTCTCTATTTCCTCCAGGAAGTAGAAAGTAAGGTTATCTTCGGAAAATACTTTTGTAAGGAGGCCAGGCAAAAGGGGTGGGGATAAAGAGAGTGGAAAGATTTTTAAATAGCGCTGAGATGGGAGAGATGACTCACAAGAGAAACTAGAATTGCAGAGGGAGGTGTAGGTTTAGTTCAGAAAAGGACTATGAATGCGGAGTGGTGCAATCTGCGTGGTTATGGTGTCCTTACCCCACCCCACGTGAAATAGTGTTGCTCTGCTCTACAGACTTAGTTCAGAAAAAGTAGCAAGTTAAATTCAAGGTAAGACATAAAGGTTGGAATTTTGCCTGAACAGAAAATAGGGCGAAGGATTTCAAAAGAGATACAAGCAACAAATTATGGGATCTTTAGGTATCAAATATACCTAGGGTTTAATACCCAAATATCATAGAATTTAAAACTAAGGATAAATACTTGCTCCAGCAATGTGTCAGACAAGAGAATATGAAAATTTCATTACTGCAAACAACCTGGGAAAGCTGGGTTTGCTGTGCAAATGATAGAAATAAAATGTGTATCTCCAGAAAGCAGAACTGAATAGAAGTGGAAGCAATGAACCAGTACACGTATAAAGTAGATTCTTCATTGTTAATGAGACACTATAAGGGATGTTTATGGTTTAAGGCCTTAAAGAGTCCAGAGACAGTCTTGAGTCACATGAAAGGGAGGTTAGCATTGAGACCCTGTATAAACCTGGCAGTCGTACAAGTGGCCAGACAATTTCCATTTATAGACACAAAAAATATTCCCATCTATAGGCACCAAAAAGGTTTCCATCCACAGGCACAAAAATGACTTCCATGTATATACACAAGGTTCGTGTGTGTTCATCTAAGTTCTAGTTGTGAGAGGAGGGGGAAAAGTCTTTGATGAATGACCAATAAACACGCAGAACACATGGGTTTGCTATTAAATTGGTAAAACCAGCACAGTTTTGAAATCTGCCACTGAATAATCTAATATAAAATTTGCTTCTGGGCCTCATGGAGATAGCTCCGCAGTCTAAGCACCTACTTAGGCAAGTGCAGGGGCCCAAGTTCAATCCTTGGCACCACATGCCACACTGGCCACACCCCAGGCCCACCAAACTGACCACCAAGACCAGGCAAGGTGGCACACGCCTGTAATCGCAGTGCTGGGGAGGCTGAGGCAGGAGGATCACTACAAGTTCAAGTCTGCTTAGTGAGATCCTGCACCAAATATATAACATTAAAAAAAAATTGGTTCTGGGGAAAAAATTGATTCTGGGCCAAAATGTAAGCACAAGAAAAAGCCTTTAAA